AAACCCTATAAGATATTCCTTAACTAAGGGGTATTGGAGTCTCTGGGATATGAATGCTTCTTCACACCAAGAGCGTGATGGCAAACGGCAATTCTATGAAGGGCTCCTCCCCAGAGATGGGACTCTAAACCCCGAACCCGAATTACCCAAATTACCCTAATGACCTGATCGCCCTAAGCACCCCAATGATTACCCGGAAATCCCTAATTCCCGTAATGACCCTTATCACCCTCATATAACCCTAAACACCCTTATCATTACCCTGATAGCCCCAATTACCCTACTGACCCGAAGAACCCGAATATACCCCTAAGGCCCAGAACAGTGTCTGGGACTGAACGGCTTAACGCAGGGTTTGGGTTCAGGTAGGGCTTAGTGTTAAACCCAAACCCTACTGCGCCAGGCCCGACAGGCCAGCCGGGAAGCTACTCACGGGCCTACCCGTAGGCCTACGGGTAGTACCGGCAGGCACGGGCGTCTATAGTTTCCTTAGGAATGATGATTTAGCGAGGTTGTTGCTATACTTAAACCCCAAGCGAACATAAATGTTTGCATTACGGTTCTCAGGGGAGTGTGGCCATAATCAACCCCATAAGCCCTACAACCTAAACCCTAAACCGTAAACCCTACACCCTAAGACCTCTGTAGGTCTGTGGGTAATTACTTTCTAGACCCCAGCCCACTCAAGACCCCCAGAAACGTCCAACACCCCTTTATGAAGGAATATTCCTTAAACCCTTTGAGGAACATTCCTTAACCAAGAGGTATTGGAGTCTCTGGGAGGTCGACAGCATTTCTGAGACGATTTCGGTTCTCTTCCAAGGCCACCGGTGTGCTCGTCAACCATCCGTTCACCAAGTGCACGGCCTTGGACCTTGGCCAAATAGTGCAGAGCCTGGACTCCTAGACCCTCTACCCTAAACCCCAAACCCTAAGACCAAAATTGCTAAACCCTAACCCCTAAACCCTAAGCCACAAGCCCTAAGCCCTAAACCCCTAAACCCTAAACCTAAACCCTAAACCCTTATCTCTCGCTAGCATTCTTGAAGTCCGCTTGCGGACTCTGCCCTACGCAACTGACAACCAAAACACACTGCAGATGGGCCCTCAGGGTTTCGGGTTTAGAGTGGACCTAAACCCTAAACCCTCAACCCTAAACCCTCAACCCTAAACCCTGGGCATTCATCGGCATTTGCCGGAACAGATCGACACCGATGACTCCAGGGTAGACTGCATCTGGAACTTGGCCGTATCTCGAGATACTTATCCCGTTGTCCCTTTGTTTAAGAGTGTAATGGAAAAAGTTGCCTTGGACTCTAGGCTAGATAGTAATTCGTAGGTAAGACAGGCAAGAGTCAGGCTTCTGGCCAAACTGCCAACATTGAAGGCAGAACCAATTGCACGTAATTGCCGGGCATTGAACCACTTCTTGTTCGGCACCCTCGCCACCAGAACCTGCGAAAACAACGCGAGGGCCGTTTGCTGCTCATCACCTTGGTCACAGCTGCCGCCAGCAGAAAAGCTGGTCAAGGCCGGAAACAGGCTGGAGGCTGGAATGAGCGAAATTAGATGCAGGTTCACCACCTTTCTCACATGCGCTGACGCTGGCATTGAAGCTGATCCGGGTTGGCGCAACACTGGCCATCGGCATCTGCGACAGCAAATGCTGGGCCATCTGCCACTCACCACTTTTTTCGCAAGCACTAATGCCTGCATTGAAGCTGAACTCGTCTGGCACAAGTTTGCCCGCCGGCATCTGTGAAAGCAACTGCAAAGCCATCTGCCACTCACCCCCTTTCTCACAGGCACTGATGCCGGCAGAGAAACTGATGACGTCTGGCACAAGCTGGGTGGCTGGCATCTGCGAAAGCAACTGCAGTGCCATCCGCCACTCGCCAGCTTTCTCACAGGCGCTGATGCTAGCATTGAAGCTGATGTCGTTTGGCACAAGCCTGGCTGCTGGCATTTCCGAAAGTAAGTGCAACGCCATCTGCCATTCGCCACCTTTCTCACAGGCGCTGATGGTAGCAGAGTAGGTGATCACGTCCGCGACGAGCCTGGCGGCTGGCATATGCAGAAGCAACTGCAATGCAAGCTGCCACTGACCCCCTTTCTCACAGGCACTAATGCTGGCATTGAAGCTGATGTCGTTTGGCACAACTCTGGCTGTTGGCATCTGCGACAGCAAGTGCAAGGCCGTCTTCCACTTACCACCTTTCTCACAAGCGGTGATGCCTGCAGAAAAGCTGATCACGTTTGGCACAAGTTTGACGGCTGGCATCTGCAAGAGCAAATGCAGAGCCTTCTGCCACTCCAAAGCTTTCCCACAGGCGCTGATGCCGGCGTTGCAGCTGATCGCGTCTGGACCCAGCTTGACCAACATGATCTGAGAGAGGAGTTGAAGCGCAAGCTGCCACTGCAAGCCTTTTTCGCATGCTGTGATTGCGGCATTGAAGCTGCAAACGTCGGGTGCAAGCTCGGCCACAAAGATGTCTGCAAGGACTTGGACTGCAACCTGCCACTGTCTGGCCCTTGCGCTGCTCGTGATGGTCATGCACGACAGCTTCTCGTCCATTTCTGTTGGCAACAGGTTCTGGAGCAGATGGACTGCCAGCTGCCAGTCTTGCTTGCAACAAGCTCCTCGAATCAAGGATGAAAGTGCAGCGCGACTCGTCGCTGCAACCTGGTCTGCAGTGGCAGCTGGTGGCCTCATTCTGCCTCATTGCTTGATGAACTTCGCCCCAGATGATCCAAGCGATCCCACACGCCCCAAGAACAACCTAAACCCAAAACCCCAAACCCTAACCCCCCAAACCTGGGAGCCCTTCCGCAACCTGTGCAGCTCGCATCCCCGCAATCCTCCTTAAGCCGAGGTCATGCATGCGCAAGAGACCTTCAACCTTAAACCCTCAACTGGACCTTACTGGTCGGGTTCTCTTGGGGAAAAAGTTTACCTGTTCGGACACTTCGATACCAAGCCCAAAATGAAGAACCAAACTGAGAGGCCCGTTTTGAGGGTATCGGCATAGGGGTTTCGGGTTGAACAGAACTTCGGGTTAGAAACTGAGGCGCCCGAAAACCCTAAGAGCCCACTAACCTTACTAACCCGAAAAGCCCTAAACTCTAAACGCTAAACTCTAAACCCTCAACTCTAAACTGTCTTGGCGTTCGCTCCTCGAGCTTCGCATGCGCTGATGGCTGCGCTGAATGTGATGACATTCCTGGGTTTAGGGCTCCATGGGTTCCGGGTTTAGAGCTTAGAGGGCTGAATGGGATTAATGGGCTGGGCTAATGGGTTGGATGGGCTTAATGGGCTTCATGGGTTTGGGGTTCAGGGTTATATGGGCTTGCTGGGTTTAAGGGCTTACTGGCCTTAAGTGTTTTCGGGCTTCATGCGTTTACTGGGTCTTGGTTTTGGGTTTAGGGGCACCTCACCAAGTAGGGACTCTCATCAGAGTCTGCCCAAACCCCAAACCCCAAAACCCCCAAACCCTAAAGCCTAAACCCGAAGCCCCAAAAAAACGGATCCGAAGCCTGACATGAACCGATCGCATTCCTTGAAGCGGATCAGACTCTCAGGGCCCACCAAGGTCTCATCCCAGCTTCTACTCCGACCCTGGCCGGGTCGTAATGAACGCTCGCTTATGTGACGAAGCCAAATGACGCAGGCTCCAGGGCTCCTGTAGGAGTACAAAAAAGGGAACACAGGTGTCTACTCTCTACTTCTCGCTCCAAGGCCCTAGACACCTTAAACCCTGAGGCACATTGCTGCCCAGAGGCCCCTGCAAGCGATGCCTCAAGATGTGATGCGAGGAGTCTTGTAGATTCACATGGAGGCTAGGGGCCCGACTTTTGAACGAACAAGCCTTCCCTTCTCCCCCAAAAACTATGAGTCTGGGAACCACGTGCACCCTGAGAGGTGTTTATGACCCATCTACATTAAGCGGCACGAAGTATATGATCCCAATGTAAGAGTTCGTTGACTCCCCAAGAGACCAGAATGCCAGTTGTACTTCTAGCAGCGTTAAGGGGGATATGGGTGTTGTGTATATATATGTATGTATGTATCTCTTTATCTATATATATAAGACGCACAACGCATAACCTTCGAGCGCTTCTAGCGCATCCGCCTCCCTCCCTCCAAACGAAACATAATGAACAAATGAATGACTCAGCACAAGAAACCACATACACACAACACCAAATAAGAAGAACAAGGACCTAAACCCTGACCCCTACACCCTCTTGACCCCAGGCCCCCAACCCCCCCAAACCATCCCACACCCCATATAAGCCTGGACAGCCTCAAGCCCCCCAACCCCCCCCCCCCCCCAAAAAAAAAAAAAAAAAAAAACCTCAAAAACCACAGATTTTGCGAACACTCCCATACAGAATCCTCATGCCAGGAACCCTAAGAAACCCTAAACGCAAAAAACCCTAAACCCAAAACCCTTAATCCCCCTCCTCATGCCAGGTCTCCCCCACATCGTCTCTAGGAGAAGCAGGGCTTGATCCCACTGCCCCGCCTGAGAGGCCACAAAGTAGCTGTAGGGTTGAGGGTTCAGGGCTTAGGGCTTTGAAGGTTTCTGGCATGAGGATTCTATTTGGGAATTCGTGCAAGTTCTAGTGTCTAGGGTTGAGGGCTTAGGGGATTCACAGGGTTCAGGGGTTGGAGTTTGTAGCGACCCCCCCCCCCCCCCCAACCCCTAAAGTACGTAGAGCCATGCCTCCGAAGCAGGCAGAGCTAGGGTCTTCGTACGGCAGAGCCCAATGCAAATACTCGATGTCGTGGGGGGGGGGGGGGGGGGCGCATGTGAAACGAGATGCCCAACAAAGAGTCCTCAAGTCGAACGAAAGACATGATGGTGTAGCCACACATGACCACCAGATGGTGGTTTTGGGTTTAGCTTAAGCGTTTAGGGTTTAGGGAAAGCACGTTGAAGGGTCGTGGTCATGCCCAGATGAGCAGATGAAGCGTAGTCCAGGATCGTTGCATGCCACTAATGCACGTCGACGGGGCCTTTCATAAAGTTTGGATCTGGAATATTTGTCGTCAGAACCATACTTTGTAGGAAAACGGCACATGGTAAGCTCTCAACAGTCTGTTGTCCCTTGTACGATTCCTCCTGCAATATAGGAGGCAATGTTTCTGCACCGGCACCCTGGCTTTCAGTGAGAAGTAACCCTAAACCTAACCCTAAAGCCTAAACCCTGTTGCAGAAGATGTGCAAGGTGCTGGTGTTGAGGCCAAGTCAGGTCTTGGCACAGGTTTGGCCCTTGTACTTTCACAGGCATGCAGTACTAGGGCAGATGATGTTGACCTAAACTTTGGGATGTTCCCCTTATATTAACCGTCCTTCATAGGGATTATAAGCGGAAGTACAATAATCTGCAAGTATAGGGGGAACATCCCCATACAATGTAGTCCCCCGAACTTATGCCTTCTCGCACGCGCTGATGGCGGCGCCGAAGCTGATCACGTCCGGCTGCAGCCTCTTCGCCTGCCGGCGTGGCTTGGGATTTAGGTCTTACTTGGAGGTTCAAGGTACTTAGTAACCCGATTATAGCTGTACTTATAACCCAATTCTAATCCGATTAGGGCCACTTAAGGGGCTTATATAAGTGGGATAGAACTACACTTATAATGGGTTACTAAGTTCCCTGAACCTCCAAGTGAGGGTCTAGCGCCGTGAAGCAACCGGGCATGGGCGCAGGTTCCCAAGTCGTCAGAACCAATCGTATTTCTGAGCCGACCTAAAACCTAAACCCTAAACCCTAAACCCTAAACCCTAAACCCTTCATTTGAGAACCGACCCAATAGAAACCTACACCCAGGAGCAAATGGTCATGGAAAGGTCAAACTTGCGCCTTGAGCTCCTCTAGGAGCATGAGCGCCTGGTGCACCTCAGATTTAGGGTTTAGGGTTTAGGGTTTAGGGTTTAGGGTTTAGGGCTTCGGGGTATAGGGTTTAGGGTTTAGGGCTAAGGGCTTAGGGTTTGGGGCTTAGGGTTCAGGGCTTTGCCCTAAGGCCTAAACCCTCAGGGCTTATATCATGTCTTCTGGCTGAAGGATACCCCCCCACCCCGATTTAGGTTTTAGGGTTAAGGGCTGCGGGATATAGGGTGTAGGGTTTAGGGTTCTCGTAGGGTTTGTGGTGTTTAGACAAAAGAAGCCTCGCAACTGGGGGATGCTGATTTGTTGAGGGGGGGCGGGGGGGGGGGGAGGGAATTACACAAATCAGCACTCAACATTTCTTTGGGGAATTATAGAACTGCGCCTACACCGAAACCGACCGCAACTCTCATGCCTCGCTTGTGTACGTTCAGGGCGGGGAGTTAGGGTTCCCTAAACCCTAAACCCTCCCTTTTAGGTTTCGACACTTTCTGCGCCTGCTTCTGCTTCTCGCATGCGGAGATAGCCTGCGTTGGAGCTGGGAGGTCCGAGGTCTTTCGGTTGGAGCTGGGACAACTTTTGCTTTGGAGCATGTTTTGGCGGTTCGGCTTTACCTGGGACCCTCTTTACTACAGTTTTATGGGTTGAACCTACTAATGAAGGGTTTACTACTAGACTGTAGGCATTCGAGTCCCAGGTAGGGCTTGTAGTCAGGTTCTGGGGCTTAGGGTGTGCGATGTCTGGGTTGAGAGGCAGCTACTTTGGGCACGGCACATTTTTGCCGTAGTGAGCCCACGCGGTAAGAGGTGGAAGGCATGTGGAAAGCCGAATGCTGCAGAGCTATCCCTTATAACATAGAAACCCGTACATATATTTAGTTGCACCATGGCAACCTGTATGGGCTGCCTTAATCGACACATCTGGTACCGTACGTAAATAATCGCAAGAGAAACCTTGAAACTCACATGACAAATGCGACACAAGACCTGCCACAACACCATTCCAGCCTATGCAAGCGGTGCAGAGGGCACCTAAACCCGAAACCCTGGACCCTGAACTAAACAGGCCTCTCTGCTAAACGGGGCAGAAGGCAGTCCCCAAAAAAGAAAGCCAACGAATCGGTCCAGGGGCGGCGTTGTAGGTAACCACCGTGGCCTCAAGCTTCCATTCCTGCCCCAGGCTTGTGAGGTTGTGTGAGGAGGGCTGACGAGGGCTTAGGCATTAGGGCGTAGAGATCTAAGGCCCAGGCCCTAAACCCCCCAAAGAAACATGCTCAGAACTATGCTTAGGGAATGAGGGAATGAAGTACCATATAGTCCCTGAAACGGTATATATAGGGCCCTACTTCCCTCATGCCTTAGTAAGAACAAGGGGAAAGAAGGAATTTCTGTGGCCGAACCCAGGGGCCCTCTTTCCTCAAAGCCGAATTCCCACACAAATGCAAGGAAGAAGCGACAAAACCCTAAACCCTGAACCTGAGCTGGAAGGGTCAGATCTTTGCCTGAAGACGTTGCATCAGCCAGAGCGCCATCTGCCAACGACCTGCACTAGTAGCATGAGAGTTCATGCCATGGATGAAGATGTCAGGGCCCGTGGGAAATTTCGGGTTGATAGGATGTGTTGGGCTAAGAAGCGGCTGATGGGTTTTCAAAAGACTTCTTGTGCTTACAAGATGTTCGTTCTTCGGCCTCGCATACCACAGTCAGGTGGCTCTCAGCACCCCCCCCCCCACCCCCGCCCTCACACGAACGATGTACAAAGCCAAGCCCTTAACCCTGAGCTGGGCTTCCGTGAATGGGACTTTTCATGGGGAGCTTCAAGAGACCCAAGTTGATACTCAAAAATTCCATTACCGGCTCCCTCTTCAATACTGCACCCCAAAATCGCATCACCCGACCTCCCTTCTCGCATGCGCTGATCGCGGAGTTCAGAGCGACAACATCCTTTCGCAGGCTGGAGTCCTGCAGAGCTAGTCTATGGGCCTATCAGGGTTTAGGGTTTAGTCCTGGTTATGGGGTTGAGAACTAGGTGAGAAGCAGTACTCTGGGTAGCGTGTCTAGTGAAATCTGGGGATCAGAATAGGCCGGTGTCGGCAACGACTAGGGTTCCTGCATTGTCTTTGGCTCGCAGCTGAGGATGCCGTATACGCTCTTGGCATGTCATCGGCTTGAAACCTCACAGAACCTCACAACACCTGGGTTGAATCCCGAGCCCTCCGACCCTTTAAGCCCTCATCCACCCTAATTAAACCCTAAAACCCGAACACCCTAAAACCCTACAACCCTACAATCCGAACACCCGAAAGCCCAAAGACCCTAAAACCCTAAAACACCAGAACCCTGAACCCATGGACCCGAAACCCAGAACCTGAAGTCCATGTCGACCTTGCCATGGGCATCCCCCGCCCCCGCCTCCGTGTCACGCTCTTCCGTCTACACCACATCCCAAAACATGCCCTAACAACCCACCCTAAACCCTGAACCCTAAACCCTAAACAAAACCCATAGCCTAGACATCAGAATCTATAAGCATCATGTCTGAGAATCTATGGCTGGCGATAACAGGGTTATCAATTGGGATATGAGTACCCTAACCCTAAACCCTAAACCCTAAATCCGAAACCCTAAACCAGTTGTTATACCATGACCCTCCAAGTTCAGGTTCAGGACTGGAGTTTCGGAGCCGTAGCGCGGCCCAGAAGGGTCCTCGAGCTCATCGAGAAGCTGCAGGGCCTGCGTTTAGGGTTTAGGGTTTAAGGGTTATATAAGGGTTTAAGGGTTAAGGGTTTAAGGGTTAGGGTTTAGAGTTTAGGATTTAGGGTTTAGGGTTTAGGGTTTAGGGTCAGGGCTTAGGGCTTGAAAGTTCCCCAGAAGCGTCATCTTGGATGTGCCCATCGTGGGGCATGGCCTTATGTAAGCATTTGGTCTGAAATCACAATGGGCAGCTTGAGTTTAATCTCCAAGCTAATCCCTGAACCCTAAACCCTAAACCCTAAACCCTAAACCCTAAACCCTAAACCCTAATCTTTCGGGGCTCATTGCGTTTTCTTCGAAAGGCCGCATGCCCAAGACTGGGAGAGCAGCCATACCCAGCTTGCCTACAATGATATGAAAGGGATGTTTCCCTTGTACTAACATTTATAGGGATCATAATAGGAAGGGGGTACTTCCCTATTAAGGACTGTTAGTAGAAGGGGGAACATCCCAAGATGTAAACAAAGACTCTAATCACACAGAAGTGTAATAATTAATGTAATGACAATCAGAGTATAAGAATATAAGAGTACAATGATAGAATCGCTTTCTAGTATCATCCGCTCCTGGGCGACAGCACGGATAGGATCTGGCGGATGCTCTTCGACTGATTCTTAAAGCCCTAAAGGCTAAGACGCCAGCTATGCCAACTCGAACCATTCTAGCCTGCAAGGCCCCCTCCCCCGCCGAAAGAAAACAACAAACCGTAACGACAATATGAAAAAGCACTAACAAAAAAAACAAAAATAGATACCTTTCCTTGGGCCATTCACTGCTCTTCTCGATGGCGCTGAGGGTGGCGTTGAAGGTGATCGTGTCCTCCGAGTTTGGGGATTAGGGTTCAACCTGCGAGCCCATAAACCCTCCAAAGCCCCATCTAGCCCCGCCTCAAGGCACGGGGAACAACCTCTCCCAGTGCACTGGACATTGAACAGCCCAAGTCACTACGGCAACGGTCTTCTGGTTCAGTGTTTTTGCTTTTGGTCTTATTTGTCTTAATGATATGTGTGTATATGGATATATACATATATATATATATGTGTGTGTGTGTGTGTGTTTATTTATGCATTTTCTTTTGGGGGGGGGGCTTGTGCGTCATACTTCGAAGGCCCCACCCGACTGAGGATGCTTTTGCAGGTCTGGACCCTGGCTCTTCAACCCCGATTTTTTTACTTGCAGCTTGCGACATCAGGGCTGACGACCGGCGCTGAAGGTGAATTGCCCTGAAGCGCGCAAGTTGTCAGGGCGATGGCCAAACTGGCACGGCTTCCAGGACTGATGCCAGCGGCTGTGTGGGCGCACAGGGGCAGGCCAGGGAGCACACCTGGTACTTCCATGCCGGATCCTGCTCTTGCCAGGGGGCTCGCAGGTGAAACCGCCCTTCACCAGGCACGTAGCATTCGAAAGGTGCCCAAGGGTGTTGCACTTGAAGAGATGGCGACTTGCCTCCGTTCAACGCACCCAAGATGTACGGCACCAGCGGCTCAGAGAACTGCGCCGACTCAGAAAGATGTTGAAGCTCAGGCAGCGGGCTTCTGGGCAGTGCTTGGAACTCGAGCTCTGTCGCGTGACAAGCTTCCTCGCAGCTCGCGCCGACAGGGCTGAGCAGCCAGCAGCGCCACTGGTGCGGAAAGGTGCCGGAGGGGCAAGTTTCTGCCTCCTCACCAAGCAAGGGCCTTCTGGGCGAGCTCTTCACATCCACCTGCCACAACATCTCGCGCAGGAGCCAAACAGGCCATGCGCTGGCAGTCTCGCCGTCCCTCTCCCGTCGCTCCGTCCGCTCCCGTCTTCCTGCCACATCCAAGTTGAGGCCCTTTGGCCCGGCAGCAAAGGCTCGGCGGAACCTGCGGTAGTAGCCGAGAATCTCCGAGGACGTCACAGGCCATCCGGAGGTGTCGATGCAGCTGGCGCCAAAGGGCAAGAGGCGCACCAATTCCGCTGCAAAGTCCATGGCTCTCTCCGGATTTCCATTGGCCACGTGGCGCTGCATGCACACGATGGTCACCATCATGAAGCCTGGTATGCAGTCAGACAGGGCAGTGGGTCGATGGGACTCCTCGTTCTCAGGTGAGTACATGCAGGACTGGCGCCGTGTCCAGTGATGAAGCTTATCCTTCGGATCTAGCGCTCGCAGAGGGTAGTCTGGAGTCCAGAAGAGGTCGACCAAAGCCCGGCGCGAAGCTACCCAGAAGTCATGGTGCTGCATACAGTCGCAGGGGTCGTTCAGGCTTCCCAGACCCTTTTGCCCCCAGCTCGTTGCAGGCAAGCAGAGGAAAGAGATCCAGCCGATCCACCTCGCTGGCATCATCGGCATCTTTCATCAGCATGGCTCACCATTCGTCGTTCACAAATGCAACTTGCGACATCAGGGGTGCCCGTGCTGGGGCTTAAGGTTTAGGGTCATAAGCTGTAAGGGAACAGGGGGAGGGCTTCCTTCATCTGGGACATGCAGCAGACTTAATGTGGTCTAAAGTTCGTGAGGGGTGTTCGTGAGGAATGTTCGATTTAGGAGCCATGGAGCTTCGGGCTTTATGGGCTGTCGGGTTGTTCGGGGTTTCCGGATTGCGGGCTTGGGGCTCCAGAGTTTGGGGGTGATAGTGGAACCTCCGAATGGTTATTTGTATTCCTTAAGCCCTAACGAAGCCACATAAGCCCTATGCTAACCTTAAACCCTGCCACAGACCTTCCGCAAACGACGCCCCACAAACCTTACACAACCACCCACGCGGTTTAAAAGGCACTGGGGGGGGGGGGGGGGGGGGGGGGGGGGGGAAGGGGGGGGGCAGGACCGGTCCTTCTGGTCCGAGCACTCGAAGAGCTGCAGGGACCATGGCCATTGGAGGCCTCTCCTCTGGTCTGAGAGGGTTGGGAGTGCTAAGCGTTTATCGGGTTTATAGGCTGAGGGACTTTGGGTTTCGCCTAAACCCTCAACCCTAAACCGGAAACCCTAACTCAAGGCCAGGAGACCAACAACTCCAAACCCCAACATGGTTCGGGGCGGGGGCGGGGGAAGTGGGGGGGGGGGAGGGAGTGGCTTAGGGTTTAGGGTGTAGGCTTTAGGGTTGGGTTTTTTAGGGTTGAGGGTTTGTTTGCGGATTTTCAGTGTTTAGTTTTGAAAGGTTGAGGATTCAAGCTTTGAGGGTGTAGGGCTTAGAGCTCTTTTGGGCTTCACTTAGGGCTCATCTAGTTTCTAGGGCTCAGGGTTTAGGACTTTGTGTAGGGTCGGTTTAGGGTTTAGGGTTTAGGGTTTAGGCGGCTGAACCAAGGCGCTCGGCAGAGCTGATGGCCGTGTTCAAGGTCGTTGTCGTTCCTGACAGACATGGCGAATGGCGCTCGTAATTCAGGCTGTCGAAGCTACCCTTAGCCCCAACTGAACCCCAGAGCCACAAAATCCTCAACCTCAACTACGAGCTTCTAAGGCACCCAATCCCCAAACAACTCAAAGAACGACACCTGTCTCTACGAATCCATACACCACAGGAGCCTACCGAAAATTGCCAGTATCATCACTGTATACATTATCACCCTAAATCTGCAAGCCTAGCACCTCTCTAAACCCCTACGTAAGCCCTCAGCCCCTACGCCTCAACTCTAAAACGGACAACCCTAAACCCTAGACCCTAACCCCTAAAACCCTAAGCCCTAGAGCCTATACATCCAACACAAACCCTAAACCCTAGAAACTGCAAACCCTAAAACAGATTCAATAAAGTGCCCGAAACTTACTGTTGGTTGGTAGGGAATGAGGGAATGAGGCACCCTATAAAATTACCCCCTTAAAGGAGAGAGAGAGAGAGAGATGTCTATTTATAAATAAATAAATTAAAAAATATATATATATATATGTATCTACGTATATAGGGCCCTAACTCCCTCATTCCCTGCTAGCCAACAGTAAGGAAAGAGGAAGGACGCGCCTGGAAGCTGACTGCGCCGAAAACTCGTAAACAGGGCCAAGGCGGCAGGCCATCCACCCGCCTCAGGGGTTGTTAGGGATTAGGGTTTAGGGTTTGAGTTTAGGGTTTAGGGTTTAGGGTTTAGGGTTTAGGGTTGAGGGTTGAGGGTTGAGGGTTTAGAAGGTTTAGGGTTTAGAAGGTTTAGGGTTTAGGGCTTATGGCCCCTGATCTCTAGGGTTTGGGGTTTCGAGCATACCCCGCAATTAGGGACGAGTGATTAAATCGCGTTAGTGCCAGGATGTCCTATGACCACGTGACGAGTCTGGGGACCCTAAACCCAAACCCGAAAGCCTCGAATCCTGAACCGCCCCCAAGCCCTGAACCAGCCGAAGATCCCCCCAACATAAACCCCCCAAGTTTGGGGTTAAACCCTAAACCCTAAACCCTAAACCCTAAACCCTAAACCCTAAACCCCAAGTTTGGGGTTTAAGTAGCACCCTGGCCCTAGAGCAGCCACCCAGTTCCCCGCAAGCTCGTGACCCTGAACCCTAAACCCTGAAACCCTCCACCCTAGACATGCTCCCGAAATCCCTCGAAACCTTGAACTCCCGGTTTAGGGTTTAGGGTTTAGGGTTTAGGGTTTAGGGTTTAGGGTTTAGGGTTTAGGGTTTGGGGTTTGGGGTTTAGGGTTTAGGGTTTAGGAGGTGCAGGGTCGTAAACCCGATAGGCCGAACCTATGCAAACCCTAGCTCATCCTAGAACCTCTTATGAAACAAACTGTGTTTGAAAGACCGTTCCCACCCCCTCCCCCTAAACCCTAGCCCTAAACCCTAAACCCTAAACCCTAAACCCAAAACCCTAAACCCTAAACCCTGAACCCCTAAACCCTACACACGCACGTCGGCCTCGCAGGCGCCCAACACCGTGTTGCCCGTGACGGAGTCGGTGCGAAGCTGTAGGTCTCGGGCCGATGAAAGCCTGGTTCAGGGTTGGCAGGGTTTAGGGTTTATAGGGTTTATAAGGTTTAGGGTCAAGGATTGAGGGTTCAGGGTTTAGGTATGGTATGGCTTGTGTAGGGTTTGCAGGGTTGTAGGACTTGAGTTGGGATTGCTGTGGGGCTAGTCAGGCCTGTCATGTTTGTACGGGGCGTGTGGGCTTGCAGGGTTTGTAGACCTTGTAGGATTTAGGGTTTAGGGTTTATTTTAGGGTGTAGGGAGGCTTTGTAGGGGTTGTAGGGTAGGGCTTGCGTATAGGGCTTGCAGGGCTTGTAGGGTTGCAGGGTTTGTAGCGTTCGCAGGGTTTGTGAGGTTTGTAGGGTTCGTAGGGTTTATGGCGTTTGCAGGGTTTATGGGGTTTGTAAGGTTGGGAGGGTTGATAGGGCTTAAGGTTTATGAGGTCCATGCAGTTCATGAGGTTTGGGGCATACATAAAGGGTTTAGAGCGTTTTCAGGGTTTCAGGCTCGACGGCAGGGTTCTGAGGTAAAGAAGAAAGCCGTATGCCGAGTATGGAAGAAAGCCCACAATTCAGGGAAGGGGGATGCATTCGGGTGATAGCCGAGGGTTGTTAGAGCACTCTCCCTGCTGAAGGCTTGTTGCTTAGTGTTAGGGGATTGTGTGCGATGAGGAGGAGTTTCCAGGGGCTTGAGGTATTTGATGGCTTGTTGGACCGAACCATTTACCAGAAGGAAAACGCAACGCCAACGCGATGTTGACCTGGTTCCATTCACGAGAGCGTGTAGGGCTTGGGGTATTTCATGCCCGGTGGCATCAAACTGGCGTTCCGCCAGCGTCCCGCACGAGCATGTGCATTGACCGCCTTAGCGCGAAATTCTCAAAACCAATGCCCGGGACCGCCCTAACCCCCCGAGCCGCTAAACCACCCTCAAAAACCCAAAGCCCCAAGGACCCCAAACCCCCAAAACCCAAACCCCTACTAGCCTAAACACCCCAAACTCCTGAACCCCTGAACCCTCGAAGCCGCTTAAAAACCCCAAACCGATAGACACCCCAACCCCCTAAACACCCCGACCGCCTAAAAAAACCCAAACCCGACAAACCCGAAAAACCACACAAAGCCTAAACACCAACTTGGTAGCCCAGCAACCATTATAAATACGGGTACCCTTCTTTTGGGGGTCGGTTACCTGAATCATAACTTGTAGAGGAACCTGGGACCCAAAAAACCGGCAACAGCATACCACTGCACTACCACGCAGCCCCTCCCCACGAAACCTAAACCCTAACCCTGAACCCCAAAACGCCCCCAAGGTTCCAAGAGACCGTGCAGCCACCAGGCTGGCGAGTTAGCGGGGTTTAGGGTGCTAGGATTTTGGGCACTAGGGCATATAGGGCTTTAGGGCCTTAGGGCTTTAGGGTCTACCGAATACCTTCAGGTCACCCGCCTCATGAGTTCTCGCAATGTTACTCCACCCTCCTGACATCTGAAAGCCCTGCAGACCCTAAACCCCCCAAGGCCTAAAACCACAAAGGCCCTTCAACCATCAAACCCCAAAACCTAAACCCTAAACCCTAAACCCTAAAAACCTGAACACTAAACCCTAAACCCTAAACCCTAAACCCCAAACCCTAAACCCTAAATCCTGAACCTACCTTCGAGCCAGGAGGTGAAGTCCGGGCCACGCTGTTCAGCACTACTAGGTTGCAGTCGGCAGCGATGTAGAGAACTTTGCAGAAGACGGCCTGGCTTAGGGTTTAGGGTTTAGGGTTTAGGGTTTAGGGTTTAGGGTTTAGGGTTTAGGGTTTAGGGTTTAGGGTTTAGGGTTTAGGGTTTAGGGTTTAGGGTTTAGGGTTTAGGGTTTAGGGTTCAGGGTTTAGGGTGCGCCTGGAAGATTGAGGAGTTCGGGCTTAGGGCTGAGGGGGGGGGGGGGGGGGGGGGGGGGAGGGCGGTGGGGGGCTTTGGGTTTCAGGGTTTAGGCTCTTATATACAGGTTGTCTGCTTTTCAGGGTATATAGGACTTGTAGGGTATGAGATTTCGGGTTGCAGGGTTTTGGGCTGACAGGCTTTAGGGCTTGTAGGGTTCATGTAGGGTTTAGGGTACCGCAGGGGTTTCAGAGTAGGCCTGTACATCAGTCGACTAGACTCCTAACTCAACCGTAAACGTAACCCCAATGCCCATGGTGCTCCTCCTCGATGCAGCAGACTTCCCGCCTTCCAACCCTAAAAAGCCTACAAACCCTAAACCCTAAACCCTAAACCCTAAACCCTAAACCCTAAACCCTAAACCCTAAACCTAAAGGATGGCTGGTCTCCCTCTTCTTGTCACAGGTCTCCGTGGGCACGTGCAAGCTTGGCCTTGTAGTGGGCCCTCGCAACTTGCAACAGACCAGGCTTAGGGTTTAGGGTTTCGGGTTTAGGGTTTACAGAGAATGGGTTTTGGGGCTAGGGGTTTAGGCAGTTTGGGTTTAGGTCAGGTACATCTCAACAAACCTCGCCAGAACTCTCAAGTCATGCCAAGACCACACGCTGAAAAAAACTCCTTTATGAAAACGATCGTCTTGAAACAACATAGGGGTACCCTTATTGGGGTCCCTTTAAGGAGATTCAATTCTTTTTGGGGTGCAAAAGAGGTACGCCTATTTCGGGAGATGCTCATTTCCCTACTCTCGAATGGTAAGTCAAGGTTTTCGATGTCGAGGCTGGCACTGCCCTGCCTCGGCCCGTGCCCACTGACCAGCTCTACTGCCTTGGACTCCGGGGTGTGTGAGACTTATAGGGTTTTAAGGGTTGGTTTAACGGTTTCATTGGGGTTTGGGGTCTATATAACAGAAGAAGGCCAACCGTTGGGAACCCTCTGGATAGCAGCGCTGCTGGGTTTAGGGTGGTCTGATTCGGGTTAACGGTTTAGGCTTTACTTACGGCCTCAACCTACCCTATATGTACATGTATATATATATATATATATGGGTTGTTGTCAAAATGCTTGTTCCCGAAATTGACGTTAAATCGGAACTCCCTCGGTGCCGCCTTATGTCCTGAAGGAAAAAGAAGCTGATTGAGATGGAGTAGCAAACGCGACATTTGAATGATCCAAGCATGATTTCCTAGAAAGGGTGCTAGCGCGGACCATTTTTCAGGCGCTGCTGTCTGGAGTTCTGGCGCGAGCGAAGGTTTCTCCGCTGTCGCCACTTGCGCGGCTCGAGCTCCAGCAAGCATAGCGCTCTCGGTTCTATGGTGTTCCTTTGTGGTCTGCTAGAGGAGGAATGGGCCATGGCCTGCCGGGGGAGGTTGCGTTGACATTTTGCTAGCGCCGTGCTAGCGCGGCGCTAGCGCAAAACACTTTGCCAATTTTTCCAAGACCTGATACTACGACGTGATGAACGACGAAAGCAAGCCAGGAGCAGCAAATGTACCAAGTATAACAAGAATATCGTTTCTTTCTTGTCATCGTTTTTCCTAGAAGAACCTCTATCACTATCCTGGCAACAGGGGCCCCGTCAATTCATAACGAAGCGGCCCGGGGTTATTACACCACCCCGGATGTTGTACGCATATTTCGGGTGGTGCGCCTGGCTGGGCCTTCTCAATCAATCTCTGTTGGGTTCGCTTAGTGGTGACATGCGAAACTTGAAACAATGTTTGTTGATTTTACCTAGCGCGAACCTAGCGCTTTCCTAGCGCCACACTGGGGTTTTAGGGGATCCCCCTCGGTGCCGCCTTATAGCAAAGACATGAAAATAGACCCGGCCAAACCAATTAATGTAAATTAAAGTAACTGAGCAGACACGCGAATTTTGAGCGCAACCCATATATTGAATAGTACATATTGTATTCTAATATAACATAGTATATTATGTCATATTATTCTATATTAGATTAGATTATATGATATGATATGATATGATATGATATGATATGATATTATGCTATCGTATATCAGATGATCTCATATTATATCATATCATATTCTACTAAATTATATTGTATTATATTACAATATCATATCATATAATATTGATATAACATAATATATTATAATCGAATATAATATAATATAATGTAGTATAATATACTATAATATAATGTAGTATAATATACTATAATATAATGTACTGCAATATAATATAATATAATATAATAGAATATCATATAATGTAAAATACAATAGAATAATATAATATATTCAGGCGTCTGGCATGTCCGGCCCCCCCGAAGGTTTAGGGACATTCGAACTTGAAAAGCCCAAGCCCTAAAACCCAAAACCTGAAAGCTGTAAGCCTTAAACCAGAAGCCCGAAACCCTAAGCCCTAAACCCGCCCCACAAAAGGGGGCGGGGAGGGGCAGGGAGAGACCATGACCCTAAAATCCGACCTAGAACCAACCCGCAACCACTCCCCGGGGGACGTAGACCATGGGGCTGGAGGAGAGGGCCGTGGAGCGCTGTGTGCGTGTGTCTTCTTGGAGAGAGGAGGGAGGGAGCCTTTTGAGTCTACTTGGCTGATAAAGTCCAGAATCTTACAACGAAAAAACTCATGTAAATTGGCTTCAGGTCTGAAAAACAAGCTCTCGTTTTCATAAATCCCTTCAAATATAGTTACATAAAAATGAAGATATGAAGTTAGTGTTAAGTGATTGCCTTTTGAAATATTCTTTCAAGTTCAGAACTTAAAAACTGAAGCGTCTGGTGCCCCAAGGTCCACCCCAAAAATCAGCAACAATAAAACCGAACAATTTAGAAACTAATCAATATTAGAACTGAATGATTTCGTTATTTGGAAAATGTTGAGGCTCCAGACGTTGCATACTCCAAGCAATGTAGATGATTCAACCCAAGATTTAAAGTACTTAAGCTGGAGGGGGTGGTGGATTTGCAGATACAAATATGAATGAGTTTGTGTTGCTTTTGACAATTGCTTACGACACTCTGGAATACTTCAGACATTCACAGTGGAACAGGCAAACTGTTTCATATCATATATATGTAAACCTATACATATATATATATAATATGTTTGAAGCTTCAAAGTTTCACAGGAGAAGTAAGCAATTCAACTATTTCTTATGTACAAACTGGAAACAACGGAAACATGGTACATGATTGTCCCTCTCTCTCATTTATTTTTCTTATCTATATATATATGTATATATAGAGAGAGATTTCTATGTGTATATATATATACACACATAGATTTCTCTCTTGAACGTTTTGGATTAAAGGGCTTCAGGTGTATCTCAAAAAATCCAAAAGACCTTCCTCTGCAGGCCAGGCGGCAGGAGCTCAGGACCGTTCCCAAGGTGACCGCGCTGGGCTGGAGTTTGCTGACCTGGATTAGACTGCAAACCTTAGGAATCAGGGTTTAGGGTTTAGGGTTCAGGGTTTAGCTTTTTTCTCCGAGTTGCAAGGAAGCAGAGCATAAGCAAGGTACAATACTTAAGAGATGGGCGAGAAATTGATTTGGACCTTTGTTTGGTTTCGCTTCTTATCATTGATTTCATGGTTCTGTGCATTACCTGATTTACTTACTGTTCCTGTTTGTATTGCTTATGCTTTACTGTCTGCTTTGCGGCGAGCTCTATATTGTCAGCGGAATCCATAAGTTGTAGGAACCACGTTCTAGGCAGACGATTTAACTTCAACAAGCAAAAAACCAAGTCCGGTGCCTCACATCTCCCTTTTTGCTCGTGAACCATGCTTGGCCAAAGTCCCAAGTGCTTTTGTTGGGTGGCCGTGGTGGGAGCACAAAATGCCTGTCATAATCTGGGGGTTCTGCTGCCCGTGCCTCGGGAGCTGCCTAAGAGGACTTGCCCTTTGGCTTCGACACGCAATTCTTGATGAGCTTGCAGCCCGCGCTCTTTGAACATTGGTTGCACTTCTTGCTGAACTTTGTGCACTCCTCCGGACAGCTCTTCTTGGCGCATGTCAGCAGGCTGTCCAAGCACTCGCCGCACTCCGCAGAGTCCGAGGTCTCAATGCACTTCTTGTCGCATGCCACGTCATCGTCGGAACAGTGGTTTGAGCACTTCACCACCTTCACGAAGGCCTTGACTGAGCAGGGCGAAGTGAGTGAATCCAGCTCCTCGAGCTCCTCCTCATCCAAAAAGACCTTCTCTCCACGATGCTGGAGCAACTCTAAGGTGCAAGACTCCTGGTCCTGACAGGCATCGTCCATCTCCAAGCCGGTGGCAATCTCTTCGGACAACACGCCGGCAAAGGAGAGGAAGGCCAAGAGAGTCCACAAGGCCATGGTGCTGGCTCTAAGAAGGCGGGGTTTGTGCTATTTTACCTGGGGTGCCCAGAGTGCAAGAAGGCTGCAGAGGAAAAGCACGTGCGCGCGCGCGCGTGCGTGTGCGCATGGGGGCTAGCCTCTTCAGGGTCTGGTTTTTCAGGGCTTTTGTGGGTCCACCCTAAACCCTAAACCCTAAAACCTAAAACCTAAACCCTAAACCCTAAACCCCAAACCGTTTAGGGCAGCTTAGGGCTCAGGGAAGGGCAGATTCGGCTCCTGCTCGTTGCTTGCACGTGAGGAAGCAGTATGTACGACCTTTAGGACTTATAGGGATTAGGGGATCGTCTGCCCTGCCATCCTGAGTACGAAGACTCGCCCTCAATCCGAAGCAGGTGTCCATTCGGAGGCGAAGGATTCAGAATGTAGTGCCTTAGAGTTTCTGGGCCTAGTTTGGATATCTTGGGCAGCTCGTATGAAAGTCGTAAAGGGCTTACAAGGATAAAGCGTTTAGGGTTTAGGGTTTAGGGGACTTAAGGTATCAATGCTTTGTCCGTACCCCCGGAACGAGAGGATCCCTAAGTGTTTGGAAGTATCGAGTAAGAGTCAAGGGAGCATTGACACCTTGAAGCAAAGGCCATAAAACCTAGAACTCGAGCCAGAACGCCTGAACCCTTTAACCTGGCAGGAAGAAAAGGAGGTCCTGTGACTGTATGTACCTACAGTTTCGCAGCAACTACCTCCAACTAGTAGGTAGAACCCATAAAACTACAGGTAAGACCCTAAACCCTAAACCCTGAACCCTAAACCCTCAAAAGGGTCCCAGGTAGGGCTTGTCCGTCTTTGACGCTGCAGGGGGGCCTCCAGCGACGCTCCCAGAGCAGCTGCCTTCTGCCAGCACCCACGCTTCTCGAGGGCGCTGAGGGTGGCATTGTAGGAGATGACCTTATGAAAGGTTTCGGTTTTCATGGGCACTGAGTCTGGTCCCTTTTGGGGATTCTGAGGGTTTCGGGTTTTGGGGCTTGAGGTTTAGGGCTCCAGGTATAGGGTTTTAGGGATTAAGGGCTTAGGGCTTCGGGCTTAAGGGTCCAGCCTTCAGGGCTTTAGGGCTTCGGCTTTTAGGGATGAAAGGTTGAGGGGTCTTCTCATTGTGGTGTAAAATATGTATGGGAACAGGTGTCTCCGCTAAAGCCCATGATAGAGCAAACCTTCCATGCAGCAGTAGTCGTCGTCGTTCGTAGTAGTAGATGGCTTTGGAGAAATCGCAGCAAATGAGAAACACGGATATAGAACAAAAGCAAGGATTAACTCCAGTCCTTGTTTAACTTCTTACATGTTGCTGCCCCTGTAAACTAAACTCCCTTCGCCGAGAGAACCCTTGAAGATTCTCTCTCCCTCCCTCCCTCCCTCCTCCTTCTCGTTTAAGCCGTTTAGGGTTTGGGGTTTGAGGTTAGGGTTGAGTTTGGGGTTTCATGAGGCTCCAACGTTGGCCTGAAGCTGTGTCTCCAGCGCGGAGAGAAGGACCAAAGCCTCGTCATGGGCAATCTTGGACCCTGTAGCTTCCAACATGCCGAAAAATGAGGGCTCACATAAACCCTAAACCCTAAACCCTAAACCCTAAACCCTACACCCTAAACCGGGTTCAGGGTTTAAGGCTTAGGGTCTGGGGGTTCTTGATCTCGTAGCTTCCAACATAGCGCAAGTCGAGGGTGCAGGGTTTAGGGTTTTTGGGTTTGTAGGGCTTAAGCCTTAGGGTTTGGGTGTAAATCATATACGGAGCTTACGGCCCATGGGGCCTAGGGTCCTGGTCCTTAGGGTTTTGGCTTTCTTTATGATTATTTTCATTATTCTATTTTTTTTGGGGGGGGGTTGAAAATTTGCATCCCAACATTGAAACCCTAATTCTCAAGCCCCCCAAACAGAAAAAGAAGAAAAAAAAGAAACGGGTCGGGTCTAAAGCCCTAAACCCTAAAACCGAAGACCCTAAACCCTAAACCCAAAACCCTAAAACCGTGCGCCTCGCCCCAGCGCCCCTGGCTCCCCGCGCGGGCAGCCGCGGAAGTGCAGCCGCCTGTACATGCTTCCCAGCCAGGGCTGGGGTGTGCTGTTTAGGGTTTAGGGTTTAGGGCCGTTTAGGGTTTAGGGATTAGGGTTTGGGGTTTGGGGTTTAGGGTTTAGGGGTTTCAGGTTTGGGGTTTCGAGTTCATTGTTGCGTTGGAGGGGGCTGTGGGGGTTTGGACGTTCATGGCTTTCGGCGTTTCTTGTTGAACTCTGGATTTTCGAATCCTTGCTTCCCAAGTTCCAGCTGCGGAGCATACCCTCCACCTTGTAAGGCAAAAAAAGAGCATGATTACTTGGCCTGGACCCAAAGCGCCAACACCTGACACCCCTCCCCCCCCCACCCCCCCGCCCCCAAAACAAAAACACAGAAGCTAGACCCTAAACCCTAAACCCCCTACGCCCTAAACGCCCTAAACAATGTGAGAACGAAACCACCAGAAACCCGAACTCTTCCGAGCTGCGACAGCCCCAAACGGCTTCAACCCACCTCACACGGTCCCGTGTACCATCATGGAGGAAGTCAAAGTTTAGGGTTTAGGATGGTTTAGGGGGTTCAGGGTTTTCACAAGACAAGAAAAACCTACTTGCAACCGGAAAACCCCTATGAAGCCACAACAGAATTCCCTGAAACTCTGTTTACCAGGAACTACCCTTAATTCATAAGAACAAAACCCAAAAGACCCATAGGTAAAGAGGGTCCCAGGTTCAGTTCCTATAGGCACCAAGGGGCGCAGGCGGAGATCCGGGGAAGCCGGTGCAGCAGCAGACATGCAGAGATGCGTCCGAAGGGCTCAGCTCATTTAGAGGTTTCCGAAACTAGGGTAGGGTTTAGGGTTTAGGGTTTAGAGTTTAGGGTTTAGGGGGGGGGGGGGGGGGTCCCTATTATATGGGAATCCTAGAAAGCTTCGAAACGTCTTTGTAATATACCCGGGAGCCAGAAACAAACAAGAAAAAACAGTATACGATCTCAGAGCCCAGTTCGAGGCTGGGCCCGACAGTGTTTTTTTTTGAGTTGTTGCTGAAAGGCGTTTGCGACACGAGGGCACCTACACACAGAATGTAGGTAGGGGCCCAATGTGGCTCATAGGAAAGTGTAGCAGCAAACCCTAAGCCCTAAACTCCGTCCTAGACCATGATCCACCTCCATAATTCAATGGAACCATCAGCTCCTATTGAGGTATAGGGGTTGGGGTTTAGGGGTTTTCGGGCTCTAGAGATAGGTTTGTAGGGTTTTGGGCTTTGGGGCTTCTAGGGCTCCTAAGGGTTTATGGGGTCTCGAGGGCTTTGGGGATCTTTCTGCAATTCTGAAAGAGAGGCTGCGGACCTGGGTTCAGCAACCTTGGACATGGGACGCAGGCTTAGGATCTGGGGGAGTGCGGGGGATTCAGATTTGGGGAGCTTCTGTTGTTTTTGTTGTGTTCTTTTTTTTGTGGGGGGGGGGGGGGAAGTTCCCAGCAACAAAAACATCTCAGTATTGCTTGATTTGGTTTAGTGGGGGAGACGAGCTGCGAAAGACACCATGCGCAAGCTCAACGGTTCAGAAGTTGTAGTGCTCAGGAGCGTTCCGAAGCTGTAGTGCTCAGGAGGGGTTTGGAAGTGTTCCGGCTTCAGGCGAGAACAATGTGAAAGCGAGAAGCTCGTTGAACCCCTAGACCTTAAAACCCTACACCCTAAACCCGAAGCCGGCCTTCATAAGCTAGCACCTCGCTCCAAGAGTCAGAAGGCACAGCTGCTTTGCTACACAGCGCTGAGCACCCCCCAAATAGTAGGATCCCCTTATAAGAAGGACCCCAAAACCCAGACCCCTGGAAGGATTCAAAGAGTAGATCCCTAAAAGATTTCCTAAGAATAACCCAAAGGGTAGAATGTGGGGCTCTACTTCTTGGATCCTCCCAGGGGTCTGGGTAAGGTACCCAATATCAACCCCCCCCCCCCCCATATTGTTCTTTCAGTTCTTCCTTGCCCAAAACTCCTTGGGATTCAGGGTTTAGGATTCAGGGTTTAGGAATTAGGGTGGCTACCCCTAGCATCAAAACCAAGGTCCCTTCAAGCACCTGCGAGCTGATCCTGCCACAAGATCCGGCCAGGGTTCAGAAAGGGCATGCAAGAAGCTCACAAAGGAAAAAAAGCCTGTCACAGGCTTGGGGTTGCGGCAAGTATAACCTATAACTCTCACCTGCAAACCTACATCCTCAACTCCTGAACTTGTTAAACCCTAATCTCGAAACCCTACAAACCCTGCAAACCCTACAAATCCTACAAACCTTACAACACTACAAACCCTACAGACCCTACGAACCCTACTACAAAGCCTACAAACCCTAAGCCCGAAACCGCGCAATCAATAAACCCAAAACCCTTAAACCCCGAACCCAAAACCCCCTAAACTCATCATCGGTGCCTTGGAATGTCCCCTCTTGTACGAACAGTCCCGAATAGGGATTATAATGGGACCAGAATCTGCATTTAGGGCTGCTATAGGGGCTACCAGAATCTCTATCAAGGGCTGTTAGCATAAGGGGAGCATCCCAATCTTCGGTGCTCTTCGTTTCCGCGAGTGTGGCTCCGCAAGGGGCAATCCACGCGCTGGAGTCTTTAGCTCGCCCGGTTTTCGGGCTGGCAGCCTAACTCGACCCAAGAGTTTCCCGGGAATAACAAGGTTTAGGGTTGAGGGTTTCGGGTTTTGGGTTTCGGGTTTAGGGTTTAGGGTGACCCAAGAGTAGCCTAGGAATAAGGAGGGTACCCATTCCGGTTTAAAGGGGGCTTAGAAGGGAACCTGAACCCCGCAAAAAGGGAATAAGGGCCTATTCCGACTCCTCGTTCAGAGCCTGCGGCCCTCTAACCGAAACTCCGACTTGGAGGTTCGCCGGTACGTATCAGTAGGGCTAGAAGTACACTCAATGACGTCACATCTATAGCTACCTTACTTGCAACCCTACTTACTGCTCATAGTTACCCATGAACCTAATTACGGGTAAGCCCAAACACATACCTTTAACTAGATCTTTTCCAGTGAAAGTCTGAGGAGGGATTTAGCAGCCGCCGGGCGTTTCGGGAGTTTCGGGATGCCCTGCAAATCCTAGAAATGCTACAACCCCCTTAACCCCCAAGGCCCCCAGGTCAAGCGATCTTCAGCGCCGTAAACCCGCTGAACTTGGACCCAGCATATCACATAAAACCCCTAAGTACTACACCCTAAACCTCTCGGCCCCAAACACTAAGCTTCTACGACTCTATGACTTGAGGAAGGGGAGGGCTTCCTCCTCATCCGCCGCATTGTATTCTAGGAACCTAACAGGACAGGCGAGGGGCTTAGGGCTTTGAAAGATGTTTTGTTTTTTGTTTAGGGTTGCTCTTGGGCCTTTAGACGGGGCTAAGCCCTAAACCCTGACCGTAAACCCTAAACACCCTAAACACGCAAACGCCCTAAGCACCCTAAACACCCTAAACCCACGCCCAATCTGGCTTAGGGCTTCCGGTCGTTGAGGCTATGGCGCTTCGTTTTGGGGCAAAGAGTCTGAAGGCCCCCAGGCCTAGGGCTTAGTTGAATGACAGGTTCGGCTCGTGCTTCTTAGGGTTTCGGGGTTTGGGTTTAGGGGTTCGGGTTTAGGGTTTAGGGTTTAGGATGTAGGGTTTAGGGTTTAAGCTTTAGGGCATAGGGCCTAAGGGCTCTAAGAAGCTCTTAGGGTTGCTGTGGTGCTCTCAGGGGTTCTGAAGGTCCGGTCAGGTGCTTTCGTTACACGCCTGAAGTTCTACAGCTCAATGAGCTCAAGGCTTTCGGAGACATTATCCGGAGGGCCCACTTGTTCCACATGGCTGGTGTGACCCACAGGGTTTAAACCCGAAACCCTACACCCGAAACCCTAAACCCCTGTTGTGTGTGATCTTTTGGGGTTTCCACAGGAATACGAACAGTAAACCCTCTCGGAGCTCGGAAACTGCAAAGAAGATTGCATAAGCCGACCTAAGTTGTGAGGAAATCCCTCGCACGCCTTCCCCCCACAACCAGCAGAACCCGAATCAAAGAGCCCTGGCGCCCCAGGGACCTTCGCTTGAAGTCGCCGCTGGGAGTCATGCACTGCTCCTACAACAGGCAACTCTGTCTGAAGCCCCTGAAGCCCCCCTAAACTCTCATAGTGTGCTGCAAAACAGGAAGCCCCCATGGGATACCCCTTTGGAAACCTTGAGAAAATGGTTTTTGTAGATGCTGGCGGCTTGGGATTTCCTAATTTTTGGGCTGCTGCTTGCTTTGGGAGACAAGAAGCTTGGAGCTGGCTTTTTTCCGGGGTTCCCGGGCCGAGGCCCGCACTAATCGAGGGCCACGAATTAATCGGGTGGGCCGGTGGCCAAAAAGGGATACCCCTTGGAAACCTTGAAAAATCGGTTTTTTTAGAAGGATTTTCAATTGCAAATCGTCGCTTTCTGGTGGCTTGGGATCTCCTAATTTTTGGGCTGCTGCTTGCCTTGGGAGACGGGAAGCTTGGGCTGCTTGCTTTGGGAGACAGGAAGCTTGGAGCTGTTCTTTTTTTTTTCTTCTCCCGCGGTTCTAGTAGTAGTAGTAGTAGTAGTAGTAGTAGTAGTAGTAGTAGTAGTAGTAGTAGTAGTAGTAGTAGTAATAATAATCGTAGTAGTAGTAGTAGTAGTAGTAGTAGTAGTAGTAGTAGTAGTAGTAGTAGTAGTAGTAGTAGTAGTAGTAGTAGTAGTAGTAGTAGTAGTAGTAGTAGTAGTAGTAGTAGTAGTAGTAGGTAGTAGGTGACACGCTCTTAACTGATCATGGTGTTTTCTGCTGTTTTTTGACTTTTTCTATCGTTTTCTCTGGTTTTTTCTGCGTTTGACGGGTTGGGGGGGGTGGGGGGGGTGGGTGGGGGGGGGGTAATTACGTGCTGTGCTTTGTGCACACATGACCATGCTGAGGGGTTGGGGGGGGGGGGTGGGGGGGTAATTACGTGCTGTGCTTTGTGCACACATGGGGGTCGTGCTGGGCTTTGTGCACGCTTGACCACGCTGTCTACTGTTTTCCTCTGTTTTTTTTTGGTTGGTTTAGGGGCAAGACCTTTTGGGCTCACAGTGGAGGGTTTAGGGTTTGCAGGTACAGATCTTTTGGGCTTTTTTGGGAACCTTTTGGGCTTCCAGTGGAAATATGGGGTTTGAGGTTTCAGCCTACAGATCTTTTGGTTTTTTTGGCATCTGGGGTTTAGCAGTAGCAGTAGCAGTAGCAGTAGCAGTAATAGTAGTCGTAGTAGTAGTAGTAGTAGTAGTAGTAGTAGTAGTAGTAGTAGTAGTAGTAGTAGTAGTGTATAGTAGTAGTAGTAGTAGTAGTAGTAGTAGTAGTACGTAGTAGTAGTAGTAGTAGTAGTAGTAGTAGTAGTAGTAGTAGTAGTAGTAGTAGTAGTAGTAGTAGTAGTAGTAGTAGTAGTAGTAGTAGTAGTAGTAGTAGTAAGTAGTAGTAAGTAGTAGTAGTAGTAGTAGTAGTAGTAGTAGTAAGTAGTAGTAAGTAGTAGTAGTAGTAATAGTAGTAGTAGTAGTAGTAGTAGTAGTAAGTAGTAGTAAGTAGTAGTAAGTAGTAGTAAGTAGTAGTAAGTAGTAGTAAGTAGTAGTAAGTAGTAGTAGTAGTAGTAGTAAGTAGTAGTAAGTAGTAGTAAGTAGTAGTAAGTAGTAGTAAGTAGTAGTAAGTAGTAGTAAGTAGTAGTAAGTAGTAGTAAGTAGTAGTAGTAGTAAGTAGTAGTAAGTAGTAGTAAGTAGTAGTAAGTAGTAGTAAGTAGTAGTAAGT